CTCTTCTTCATTTGATCACCATCAGATATACACACACTGTTAAGGGTAATGATATGCTTGGCAGATTCCTCTTCTGATCCACTGTCAAAATCTCCATCAGACCAAGTTACTATTAAGCCTTTTCCCTTCTTTTTGAGATATGTGGGACATTCCTTTCTAATGTGTCCATATCCCTCACACTCATGACATTGAACTCCTCTGCCTTGGCTGACTTTATCTTCAGATTTCTCTTTGTCAGTAGGCATGCTTTTGGTATAAGGTTTAGACTTAGCATCTATCCTTTTGACCAGTTTGTTAAACTGTCTTCCAAGCAAGACTATTGCTTCTGACAGACTCTCCTTATTTTCACCATCTTCACCATCTGAATCACTTGCAGTGTTTGAAACAAGAGTTATGCTTTTGTTCTTTTTCTCCACAGCCTGCTCACACATTCCCATCTCAAAGGTTTGGAGAGAACCAATGAGTTCATCCATCTTCATGTGACATATGTCTTGGGTTTCTTCAATGGTAGTGACCTTCATTGCAAACCTTCTAGGCAGAGACCTGAGGATCTTCCTCACAAGTTTCTCTTCTGCCATCTTTTCTCCCAAAGCTCCTGAGGTGTTGACTAGTTCAAGAATGTTCATGTAGAACTCATGAATAGTCTCATCCTCCTTCATTCTAAGACTTTCAAATTTGGTGGTCAACATTTGTAGTCTAGACATCTTGACTTTTGAGGTTCCCTCATGAGTTGTTTTGAGAGTATCCCAAACCTCTTTAGCCAGTTCACAATGGTGTACCAGTCTGAAGATGTTTTTGTCTATACCATTGAAGAGTGCATTCAATGCCTTAGAGTTCCCAAGAGCCAAAGCCTCTTGTTCTTTGTTCCATTCCTCTTCAAGAATTAACACAGATACTCCATCCTTGTCAGTCTTCACTGGATGTTCTCATCCTGAATTTGCAGCTCTCCATGCCTTACTGTCTAAAGACTTTAGGAAGGCAATCATCCTTGGTTTCCAATAGTCATAATTAGAGCCATCCAAAATTGGTGGTCTATTTATGAATCTTATGTCTTTATCCATAGTACCAGAATTTATCTTCCCTCGATCTCACCTAGAAAATAACAGACAGGGTGCCTGATCTGATGCCAATTGAAATTCTGGCAAGCACACGATGGATGTCATCACCCAGGTTATAATATCCACTGTTACATTGACTACTGCACTTAATAAATACACTGTAAATGAAAGCAGTAAATAACACAACAATTGTTCACCTAATTCAGTGTCAACAACACTTACATCTAGGGGCTACCAAGCCAGGGAGGAAATTCACTATCAGCATAATTAATTCAGAGTCAAACAACTCAGTTTACACTCCTCACTTAAAACCTACCCAATGACACTTCTGCCTAGAGACACTCTAGACCTGAGTATACTCATTCACTCCCCCTCAATCACCTCAGTGATATAAAATTCACAATTACAAAATAAAGATGAAGAACCACTTCATACATACCTTGATCTTGCTTCAAAGCTTTGATCAAGAATCACACACTCTTACTTAACAACTTTGAGTGAGACACAACTTAGAACCTACCTAACCAATGCAGCATACAGTTGCTTGGTAAACAAGTATTCCTAAGACACAATTCACACGTGAAGACCGACCTTCTTCACTCACAAGGAATTTTAATATGCACTCTCTAATCTTCTGTTAAGAGCTGCTCTTCTAGGATTGTTCCTTCTGTTTTTATAGCAGCAGTCAGTCTTTGGGCCTGGGTGCATAAATTAGGTTTAACCATAACAAAACCTTTCTTCAATAATCTGCACGCTTGCCATTTAATTCAAGAGCATTTGTTTCGCTTTGGGGCTTCTAAAATATCTCTTGTCTTTCAGCTTGAGCTTCTAATAAGTTTCCTGATTTCTAGCTACCAGAAAAACTAATCTGCTCGCTGGATGTCATACGATCATAGTCATGACATTCTGTATGACATTCAACTTAACTAACATTTAGCTAAGTTAACTTACCCTGCAAAATCCACATTATGTATGTAATAACACCAGTCATGACATACATACATACACTAATATTTTGCCACATAATGCAGCCAATCGAGAGCACTTACACCGATGATCACGTGGGTTGGGCTTTTTCCTAGTGAACTGATGCATGATGTGACACTGTGTTGAGCGTCAATCAATCCTGGTTATCAGACATGTCACTTATAATTACACCAGACAAGCAATACAAAGCAGAAAAGATCAAACCTAGATAAGTGATATTGAAAATCAACCCAAACAATGCAGACTAACAAAATATGGAAATTCACTTATGTATTCTTTAAAAATCAAATTCTAAATAAAGCTGAAAGTGAAATTTCGTATTAACCTACAACTAAGAAAAGCGAAAATGGCAGAAACACAGGGTACCAAAAATGCACAAAACACATTGCTTAGTTACACTACCTAACAATGATTATAACTACCTATATATTAATGTATATTACACAAGCTATTGTTCTTATTTCTAAACACATGTATACAAATCAAATGTGAGAAAAACTTGAATTCAAACACTTATCAAATGTGTAGTTGATGTTGAGCACTTCTTGAGATGAAACTTAGATTGAATGGAATAAAAATAAAACTTAGATTGTTAAAAAAACACTTGGAAGTGAGAAATGGAAATGAAGGATGAAACTTGATTTCAAGTGTGTTTTGTTTAAAATGAAGAAGGAAGAGGGTCTGGCGCGTATTTGATTAAAATTTTGTTCGGAGATTTACTTTCGTAACTTATACAAAAATATTTTCGTATTTATTTTTGCCTAATTCAATTACGAATAAATTAAGTGTAGATTATGATGCGTCCAAACGTATATTTCTAAATTTCATAAATATTTTTAATTTTTCACAAGAATATTTGAGTAACCGTAATGTGGAAGAAATAACCCCCTAAATAAATTTCAATTGGAAGGGGGGAAATTCATCTTGAATGCCCAACACATCTGTTGTTCCCAACCAAGTTCTTCAGCAATAATAAATTCTTCATAAATTATAGAAACTCCAGAATAATATATCAGCTCAAAAAGAAAAAACTATATCATCACAATGAAGTTAAAAAATAACTGATTAAATGATTATATATGCAATAGTCAACATTTAATATGTTCGTTGCCAATATTTTAACATGTTTCTTACCAATGATTTTGACTAATAGATCACCTATATTAAATATTGACCATTACATTTGTTTATTACAAAATCAGTGCTTATTGTTTTTAAGAAATTTGATATTCCCAATTTTAATGGTGAAGAATCATTTTTAAAAAATTTTTAACTGTCTTTTTGAAATTCGAAAGTGTATTTCTCAATACACACCTTAAATACATCACATTCATTCATAATTGAACCACACTTTTATTTTCTTAAAAAAAGTCTTCCAAACTAAAATCCAAAAATATACCTTCAGACTAAACTTTTATATTTTATGTATTGAGATTGCTTATTTAAATAAAACAAACAAATACAAGATCATGTTCAGTAAAAAATAAATATAAAGCAAATTGGTTACACATTCTTTTGTATAATTAATCTCTCCTGAATAATTCTTAGCAAAATGAAAAACAAAAAAAAAATAAAAAACTCTCAACCCCATTTAACTTTCATTATTTCAAATTATGATTTAGTTGACAAAATTATTCATTGTATTCGATATTTGTGTGAATGGATGACTCACTTACAAAATACTGCAAGATGATGTGTTCAAAAATACATTTTTAAATTTTATGGACATTATTCACGCTCGGGTTATGGAAAAAGAGTCCAAGACAGAAATAACAGCAACAACCAAGTTTTTTACAGAACACATCATGATGTTCATTTCGATCTTTTATGCTTCTTTGCATTTCGCATTGAATAAACTTCATACACTGACATTAACTCTACCTTTGCATTTGGCATTGAATAGACCTCATACACTAACATTAACTCTACCGTATTTTTCCGTATTTTTTCTGTTCAGCATATCAACCATCGCCTATTAAAACATCTATCTGAAGATGTTCACCAAATAAAAAATGACAGTGAACTTTTAAAAAAGCCTATTAAAACATCTATCTGAAGATGTTCACCAAATAAAAAATAATAATATACGCCTATGCATTCATCCAAAACTTGTGGAGAATGCAGAACCAAAATCATTACAAAGTAACAACTTAGAATTCAAAAAATAATAATATAGCACTTTCAAAATAATAGATGGCAAACCTTTTCATGTTTATAGCAACTGAAAAATATTTTAAAAAGTTTTCTCAAGACAGATGTATGTCTACCTAGTACCTAGTACTTCCTAGATATAAATGCATTTATAATATTATTAAATCTGATAATATCAACAGGGTTATTATGCCAAAGTGGACCTTTTTGTTTAAGTTGTGGTCCTGAAAGATATATACTACTAAAACTTTTATAAAATGCAAAAATCACTTTAAAAACAAAGCAATACCATTTTGGTATAAAACTTGTAAAATAACTGATCATTTTAAAGCATGAAATAAGGCCACAATAATATAACTACAAAACAAGGAACCATTTCTAAACAAACAAAATATTTGACCAAATAGAAACACAACAAAGGTAAGGTATCAAAGTATAATTTAGTCTTAAAATTGTCACTTGCATTTACAATGCAAAACAATTTGACATGTCTCATAAATGGAAAACTTGCTGATTGCTTACATACATAAACAACATACTGCAAGAAACTTGTCTAGAATTTGTGCATTCCAGATGTATGAATATAGAAAATGGTAGAGAAACGTCTTTCCACCAAACCAAAACCAGGTTCTTTTGGGCAATAGGTGTCCACATATCCCAAAAAGCTGCCTAACTTATTCTATGACCAAACAGAACAACAGAAATCACAACATTGAAGCATAGCTTCAATAAACATTTTAAGTGGGTGGCTTGTCTTTTGCTCCTTACCTCCATACCACCACAACTTAGCATTGCGGCGTCCATCTAAAAACGACCGCCAGGCATGCCACGTCCACCTCTTCCTCTTCCACCGCCATAGCCATATCCTCTTCCATAAAAACCACCACCTCGAGCACGTCCGCCGCCACCACCGCGCCATGGACCACGGCCACCCCAGCCACCACGATGCCTCGTAAAATCACCAAATGTCTGCATCATAAAAAAGTAAATCAATTAGTAAAAAATTATCCTCTACCTTCTCTGCTAATTTATAGAGGTCAACACAAGGTGGTTATAACACATTACCTCGGTATCCATCTTGATTTGGTCTGAATATCTAATCCTTCCATTTTGTGGATCATTGTTGAGTGAGTTGCAGGAGAGAGAGTCAAAGAAATCATCCTTGTTGTAAACAGGCTGTGGAGACCGTGAAGAACAGTTATATAGTGTGACAACATAAGCACATTTACATAAACAACTGACTGCTTTGAGTTACAGAGAAGCTATAAAAAAAATTACCTTAACCTCCAAGTTTGATACATCACCATCGTCTTCATATTGACCGCCGTCTTCATCACTAGCATTTTCTTCCCCATCTTTCTTGTTACTTTTACCCAGGTGACCCCATACTTCATCCTTTTTGAACTTCTCATTCATTGCTGTGAAGTCAAAGTCCTCAGTGAATCTTTCAGCTGGGCGGAAACCCTGCAAAACATTAATTCAAGTTTCAATACCTAAACTGGATTGTCACATCAGCCTTAAAATTATCTATGTAAGAAAATCAAACTTCTGACAGAAAATACACCCTGCATTTTCTTTTTTCTTTTTTTTTATCTAATCTAAATTGCTAGCTCAATAAAAGCACAACAATCAATACTTCGAGCAAATTTCATTCTTTTGACAGTGGTAAGTATAGGATTTGCAAATTACAATATTTTAAACTAACACAATAGTAAATTGGATTGTCACATCAGTCTTAAAATTATCAACGTAAAAAATACCAAATTAGTGACAAAACACATCCTGCATTTTCTTTTTAATTGTTATCTAATCTAAAATATAAATTGCTAACTCGATAAAAATCATGAAACAATAATAGTATAAGGATTTGTAAATTCCAATATTTACAAATAACAACTATACACCTCCCATAAATATTCTCAAGTGCCGACTTTAACTAAAAAACTTCTCAGCTTCCTTATGAGAAATTAAAACTTTCCTGCCCCATCTTAAACAAAGCAGTAAATAGAGCATTACCTGGATTCCTCTTCCTCTTCCACGTCCTCTGTAACCATAGCCATGAGGAGTTTGGCTAGAAGCTCCCCCGGGCTGGAGGAAGTGCAACCAAATGTTAGATCATGAGTCCAAAATCAAAAGACAAGATAATAAAAAGATAACTTAATATGATAAAATACACATTCGTGCAGTCTATGTATGGGTAGTATACATGGCTAATCATATCTAAATGTAAGAACAGAAACAAGCTTGCGGAAGCTTAATGGTTCATCAATCATCACAATTCATGCATAATAATATATTGCAGGCTACCAATTAAACTATGAACCAATAAGGCCAAATCCTACTTTAAAATCTCTCAAAATGAATGAACAAATATGAAACGGGCATAGAAAAAGCAGAAAAGTACATGCAGGCTATCTTATAGACAAGGTGTAGCATACGGGGTGGACAGTGAGCACCTAGTCACAAATATGATATATCTATTGACAAAAGTACAAGACTCTAGTCTCCATTGGGCTAGTTATATATAAAGTTATATACCCACAAGCACATATGAAACCAAAATTTGTATTAGTGTCTGGGCATGGATAAAAAGAGAAAGCAAGAAAAGAATACCCTGTGAGTTGGGCGTGAAGTCACTGGCAATGGAAGTATGGGTGGCTGGGATTCAGCAGCGACAGACACAGGTGGCTCTGTAGGTGAAGTTGATGATACCGGAACCACTTCAACATCCTTGTGTGCTGTTTGTGAAGGCTTAGATGAAGCTACTACAGATTGCCCAGACTGCAATAATTGAGCTGGGGTTACCAGAGAAGGGACGGGTGGTTCTGTGCGGATAGAACTCGAAGAGCCAACAATTGAAGGAGCCATCTGCTGGGGTACAGTTTGGTATGACAAACTTGGAGCTGAAATTGCATTAGGTTTATTGGCCATTGGTACAGAAGCACTCATATCGGAACCACCATTGGTAAAAGAAGCTAGTGAAGACAAGTTAGCACCTAATGTGACTGCAGGAAGGGACACAGACTGTGCCTTGTTTGGAACTGATACTTGAAAAGTTTCAGGAGCTAGTGTGGCCAAAGGTGCTGGAGGTGAAACTGTTGTCGGAAGATTTGATGGAGGTGCAGAAGTAGATGTTATATTAGGGGAACTAGTACCCACAGGGAGGAAAGCTGAAGGAAATTCTGGAAAATTGGAAGGCCCAGTTGGTAAAGAGGGGCTAAAATTGGGATACTGCAATGGCTGCTGCATCGATGAAGGCAATGGCTGCTGCAACGATGAAGGCATGTGCTGCTGCAAAGATGAAGGCATGTGCTGCTGCAAAGATGAAGGCATAGGCTGCTGCATAGATGAATGCATTGGCTGCTGCAAAGATGAAGGCATTGGTTGCTGCATAGATGAAGGCATGGATAAGCCAGGAGGTCGTAGCAAAGTTTGCTGATGTAACTGAGGAAGCCCATTTGGGGCACCATAATATCCTTGCCAATACATTGGCATAGCAAGCCCGCCACCATTTACATTTGGAGAAGGCGAAGAAGCTCCCCATGATACTACATTTCCTCCAGGTTGATACAAAGGCCCTTGAAAATTTGACCCTGGGTGTCCAAGCTGTGTTGTATGAGGACTAGCATCAGTCAAAGATCCACTTGCAGCTGGTAAACTTGTAGAAGGTGTGGTTAAGCGGGGATACTGAGACTGCAAGGCAACTCCAGAAATTAGGATATTAATAATTTTATATGCAAAATTTGTACTCAAAAAGGCTATCATCAACCTGAATAATAGCTGGGTCGGTATTTGTTGGTGCAGTAGGCTGGACAGGTGGAGAAGATTTCACCTGTAAATCCTGCAGAAACAAGGGTAAAAGATGTTTCAGCTTATCGCATTCATATGAATTGCACATAAATTGAATACACCATTTATCATTTAATGACAATATTCGCATATGTAAAGCTGGACCCGCTTCCTTCTGCCTGTTATTATATCTACTGATATGAAATGTGATTTGCATGCTTATACTAGGAAAAGGATCAAGATAAAATAAATGCCATAAAACCTGCACGGGTGACCAAACATTACAATGCTTCAAGGATGAAGCATTCCCAAAAAAAAAATATATTGCAAAGAGATTAATGCCATTCTTTCTGAAGTGATCAGTAGCTATTTTGAAAAGGTGTTTGCACAAGTTCTGTATATGTTACCTTGATGTCCGTCCCGCGGAAGAGTATATACTCATAGACCTTGTCACCTGGCAGAATTTGTGGACCGTCCTTTTTCCTTCCTTCAGTTCCAAAAGAGCGCACTGCACCACAACCACACGGAAAAAAAAAGCCATTATACTAAACCATCTTGCGGCCAAAAAAACATGAGAAACAAGTTGAATAGCAACATACAACTATGAAAATAATATAATTGGAGAGTAGATGTGTTTGTCTTATGAACAGTAGTCTAGATTTGACAGAAAAATTGACAAATCAAACAATTCATCAAATAACTGAGCCAATCTCAGTAGATTTGGTTAAAACTGATTGATGTTTCACCATGCCATGTTCCTTTGAGAAAAACCCAACTTCACAGTTTCAATTGCCCACTTAACAAAACCAATCTAGAAGTCCTAACAGAAACAAAAAGTGGCCTGAACAATTCCATACTAAGAACAATCAGTGTTGTTGTCGATGGCATAGAGCCAAAATATTGACATATCGGCCCCTTTGAGGTGCCGTCATAGCGGATTATGGTGGAAAAGAACTGCAACGAAGACCGATATTTAACATCGGCGAGCCCAAAAACCGTCACCGATATCCACCATGGCGGATATTCAATAACACTGAACAATAAGCATAGATCTTCATCAAAGAACGATTTTGATTTGGTGTCAGATCAACAAATGAAAACCAAATTGACAGCGGCGAACTTCATGCAAGGAAAACAAGACAGAACGATTCTGTTTCTAAGCTTTAGGTAAGTTTTATTCAATTAAGTAAACCCTACTTATCACCTTGTTATCACGTGCTTATCTCGTGCTGTAATAATGAATATAGGGAAATTTGTACACTGGGCCACCCTCTTATAAAATATAGATTAAAGTTCTTTTCTTTGGTGTTTTAAAATATATGCATGCAGGTTTTTATAGAAATAAGTATGAAAATTCGTATCCTCGCCGAAATTAAGTATCCATAAAGGGAAAAAAATATGTGTAATTACGTGTGTTACCGTTCTTTAACAATTAAATAAACAATTTTGATAATAATATCGTTTATGTTATTGCCATAAAAGAGAATTGATAAGTTAAAAAAATTGGATGATTACTGCAATCCTTTTCGGACAAAGCCAACACGAAGTCATTTAAAATGGGGTGTAACACGCTGTCATATTCTAACGGTCTTTACCCCACGAGCAGAATTTGAAAAAATATTACCATGACAGAACCTGCAACTGCTAGATCACCAAAGCAGAAACCATAAATGTCACATTAAGATCATCCTCTAAATGGAGAGAGCAAATAGTGACGCGCATAAAAGAGTAATCAACACTCATAAATCACCAACTAGCAAGAATAACGCACAACAACGAAAGAATAACAATTCAAAACGTAAAACCCAAACAGAGTATCAAAGTGCTTCCAATGCACCAATAACACGATAAAGATTGCAGAAAACAAACTTTAAGAATTCACAATCATATCAGCATTCAATACAACACACATGCAGGAAGATAAAACCATGGTGATAGTGTGCTTCTGAAAATTTTCCGAAACCCGTTTCATTGTCTTTATAAGACTAAACCCAGACAGTCAAAAGTAAGCCATTTCTTACCTCATCCAAAGATTAACCATCCACACACACCCCTGCCCCTCCAGATAAACATGTATAAACAATCAACAAAACTCAAAGAGAAAACAATATAACAGCCTCATAACCAAACAAAACCCTAGAAAAATATTAGCCAGCAAAAATCACATTCCCAGACAACAATTCAAAACACAAACAACCTACGGAAGCAGATATCATTCATCGATATTACAAATCCTAACACAACCCCAACTCACATATAACTAGACCCATTTCAGATATCAACAGCAAATCCAGATCAATCTCTTCCAACGAGAGAAAAAATAATAAGAATAATAAGGAATAAACAAAAGCTTATATATCTATGCATATGTAAGATCTATGAGGAGAACGAGAGACGCAAAATAGGTACCATTTTTTAGGCCAATACTGGATTCATCGGTGTTGATGTTGTAGAGAACGCCCTCGTATCTGATCTCACTTTTGGACGTCAAACTAATCAAGCACCCAATGTAGGAATCGGCCGCGGAACTCGAACGAGAAGCGGTGTCGGAAGCCATGACCTAGGAAGAATTGAAACCATACACTGTGTGTATCGGCTTTCAAAATCGAACACACACGTTAGGGTTCAAGCGGTTGTTTGCGTGATGGAGAGAGAGGGAGAGATGAAAGAAAGAGAGAGAAAGAGATAGACTCGAAAGTAGTGAAAGAAAGAGTGTATGAGTGAAGAATAAAAACACAAATATCTTATGTCATGTTATATATACACAACTCTTTTTTTTGCTTTTTATTTGTTGAAAAACAAAATTATTATGCTTTGCTTATTAATCTAATATCTTCATTTGAGTTTTTTTTTTTAATATCAACACTTTGTTTACATTGATACGTAAACTTTAAAAAAAAAACTAAAATATGTTTGATGTATTTGATTACATAAAGAGTTTTTTTTTTAAATACATAAAGACAATTATTTTTTTCATGTATTTGTTTAAACATTTCACTCTAAATAAGTTATTGATTTTTTTTTATTCTCTCTCTCTCTTAATCTTTCGACTTTTGGTTTGAATTAATTTTTTATTAATATTGAGTAATGGTGTCATAAGAGATCGGCGTATCTCTTTATGAATGAAATAGGATTCTAAATACTATATTAATGTGATATTTATCTTTTTTGTATGAGTATTTGGACGAAATAGTTTGTTGAAAAATATAGTCTTTTCAAAATTTATGATTTGGTGGATTTATTATATTTCTAACGTGTTAAAAAGATGCTATTTTGAGAAATGTGGTTTTGTAGACGAATTGTTTGTTAACATGCAGTTATTTTAGTGTTAGATATAATGGTCCAGTACATATTTTAATCGATTTGTTATTCATTTTGTATACGCTAACTTATGTGTATAATAATGGAGTTTGACTAATTAGTAGGAGGGGACAGACATATTAGGGGATACATGAATGATGAAAAAAGATACGTAAATTTAACATGGGCGAAATTTTAAAGAAAACAACACAGATAGAGCAAAAACAAAATCATTGATAAAATATTAATATAAAGAATATGATGAAAATGTATAACTATAACAAATATAGAATGTTAAATCGTCAAAGTATATTATGCAAAATAACAATAGCATGATTTAAAGTGGTGTTATTCATTCCTTCAAATTCTTCGCATCATCAATAATTGAAACAAAAACAAAGTTATTAACTTTTTTTTCCAAGGTGAATGACCATATTATTTGCAAGAAATTTGGGCTATGACCCATTGAAGGAACATCCGGGGAGAGATGGATGAACAGAGAGAGAGAGAGAGAGAGAGAGAGAGAGAAAAGATGGGAAAAAGAATCATGTATCTCATTGTGCTTATAAGAATTGCGAAAATATACATAATCACTGATGAATTTGAGTGAACGATGTTGGTGTTTAGGGATAATATATACGTTAGGATATACAACTTTGTAAGTTAGGAGTTTCTTAAATTTGTATTATTATTTTTAATTAGGTTTCATATTATAGTACTACTAAAAGAATTTAAAACTTGCAACATCGTAAATTTTGCCCATACAATGTGAATTTACCCGATCAAAATGCACTTGAATGACCAAACGGATAAGATTAATTTAAAGTCTGTCATATTGACTCTTTATGGGGCCGTCATAGCAGATTATGGTGAAAAAATTATGTAACAACAGTAGATATTTAGCATTGTGACAATCCTAAAAACCGCCAATGAAATATGTCATGACAAATATTTGATAACATTGAGAACAATAAGTATAGATCTTTATAAAAAAATGAGTTTGATTTGGTATCAGATTGATAAACAAAAATCAAATTGAAGGCGTTGAACTTCATGGAAAGAAAACTATACATGGTTCAGTTTCTAAGCTTTAAGTCAATTTTAGTCAATTATGAAAACCCTACTTACGACCTCGTTGTCACGCGTTTAGTAATAAATATAAGGAAAACTTGTACACTCATAAACCTTTTAGAAAATATATATCAAAAGTTTTTTCCTTTGATTTTCTAAAATATACGCATGTCGCATTTTTATAGAAATAAGTATGATAATTCTTATCCTTTCTCAATTAAGTATTTAGAGAGAGAGAGAGAGAGAGAGAGAGAGAGAGAGAGAATATGTATAGTTACTTGTTACTATTCTTTAAAAATTATGATATTATTCCCATAATAATATTATTATGTTACTTTCATCAAAAAGAAATGTTCGATTAAAAAATGAAATAGCAATAACATAATTTAGAGTATTGTTATTCATTTCTTCAAATTCTTCACCTCGTCATAATCGAAACAAAAACAAAGTTGTTAATTATTTCCTAATATAATTAACCATATTATTTGCAAGAAATTTGGGTTTCATCTTGTTATACCAAGGGGAAATAAAGGACATGCAAAGAACATCAGGAGAGAAAAAGAGATTGAGAGATAAAGAGATAGATGAGGAGAAGAATCATGTACCTGGCTGTGGTGGTGAGAATAAATAAACTTCACATAATCACTAGTGGTATTCAATAATATGAGCCCTAATTAAAATTCCAGATCATGGTCTTCAAATACTTTTAGTACTGACATCCGAAGTATTTATTTGTCTGAGGGTTAATAACACCAACATTGATGTAGTTGTACTAAAATTTGTTGAAGATGACCCCATGTACGAATCAATGAACTTTATATGGGATACATTATTATCCTCTTAATTATAAATGATGGGTCAATTTTCAATAAGGTGGCTATAAATAGTAAGGAAAAATATAATTAGGTGAAGACAAAATATCAAAATAACATGAAGGCTAAGATTTTGAAGAGGGAATTGCTAAAGAAAAACATTAAGAGATGGGTGTTGAATAACAAGATATTAAGTAGGAAGTTGGAGATATGAAACAACAGACTTAAAATATATTTTACATTAAAAGACTCAAAAAATTAAAGTTTATTAAACATTGTAAACATTGAATGTATAATACACACACGATACATTGAATTGTATTTATTCTTTGTTCTGGACTGACCCAATGGTTAGGCATGGTCCAATCCACGTATGCATCCAGAACGGTCCAATAGTCTAAGCCCTGTCATGTGAGGGAAAAGGAAAGCACTTTTTCTTATGCCCCTCAGCCGAGGAGGGATGACCAGCTGACCCACAGGATCAGCTACCCTTCGTCACATCTCTGCTCGTCACGCATAGTTCAACCATCCAGAAACGGCCACGACATGCTTGCCCGCGATCACACCCCTGCTCGAAGCAACGACTAGTTCCGAGCATGCCTGCCTGTCACAACGGCTAGTTTTTGGCAGTTACCTTTTTTTGGGGAGCGAATATCTAGGCCCGAAAATAGGGACCAATGGCCAAGCGCTTGGGGCATTATAAATACCATTTCCTTTGAGAGGGTCAGGTATTCCAAAATCACCCTAAGACATTATTACTTTGTACTTGTTTTATCCTCCCCCGATTCTTACTTTGGCATCAGATTACAGGTACACCCCTTCCTCCTTGGATTCCAACATCGAAGACAAAGTCTCTGACCCACTTCAAGTTCTGATCAACTGGAAAGATCAGTGGCACCGTCTGTGGGAACTTTTGTTCTCCCCGTCTTTCTTTCCCCAGAAACCAAATATCAAAGCAATTCTTCGAGATTCTGATCATGGCCAGCCATGATAACATTAACAATGCACACAACACCGTCATCCCCTTGTCAACAAGACAAACAACGACGAGGTAAATCCATTTCTTAGAGACAACGTTCCTCAGCAGAGGTACATAGTCATCGCGTCTCCCTCCTGGATTGCGCCAACAACGTATAGATCTAGCACTTAGAGGACCATTAATGTATCCCAGTTTTGTCCAACGCCGACCCGATCATGGTAGCTCTGGTCTAAGCCCTTGACAAGACAAACCTTCTGATACTCCAGCAGAATGCAAGAATTGGAGCATTGGAAGAGATTTGTCGTCCAAGATCTCCTCTACCGAGGTGCGAGCACCAGAGATCTCAAAGTCATTCTCACCGACGCATAAGAAATCTCTGAATGCCAGTGGATCCTGAATCCCTGTTGATGAGGAAACGCGAGCATACTCCTCCATGGAGCCAACATTCTCCAAGGGCCAAGAGAACAAGAAGAGATCTACAGGAAGAAAACCAATGTTCACCTCCACCCAAACCCAAGGGCGGGTCGCGAACTCGTTCCCCTGTCGAGATCGTGATCCTCACCCATGCAGAAACGACCATTCTCATTTGAGGTCAAGTAGCTATAGTGACAGCGAAGAGCCTCGAGGCCCATTATTTAGGAGATCATGGCTACTTAATTACCTAAAAAGCTAGAGAAACCCCTAACCCATGGCACATATGATGGCACGACCGATCCCGGTGAACACATCGAGAACATTGATGCCATGCTCTACTATCGTGGCGTCAAAGGCGCCATCAAATGCAAGTTGTTCCCAATGACACTGGGAACAAAAGTGATGTCCTGGTACAAGAGCCTCCCCTATGAATCCATCACCTCATGGAGGAAGTTGGGAAGGATGTTTTCGAGACATTTTACAGCCTCTCGTCGTCATCCGAAGACAGAAGCCTCCTTCGAGGGTATCATTTAAGGAAATGATGAATCTCTTCGAGCATACATTGAAAGATCCAATAAAGAAGTCGTTCAAGTATCCCTGACTAACGGCATGAAGACATATTTTCTCGAGCAAGGGCTCCGTCCCCACAGCGGCTTTGCCAAGGCGGTTGGCATCAAGACCCTAGCAACACTGGATACCCTCCTTCTCAAGGCTCAAGCATATATCCGGTATGAAGAAAAAGAAGCGAAAAACACTACCTGAGGCTCAAGGTACTAAGAGAATGCCAGGTCCTCAAAACATGATGACCCATCGTCAACTCATCGGGGAGCAGAAAGAAGAAGGGATGACCGCTCTCGGGAATCCCGAGATTACAAAGGGCCATCTGGTCGTTTCCACGAGTACATGTCGCTGACTGCCTCGCGCGAGAAGATTCTCTCTGTCTGTGTGAACTCAGAGTTTCGGCAGGCATGAGTCTGTTTC